TGAAAAACAAACTGAGGGTTCTAGAGGGGAGGGTGGTGGGGGGATGGGTTAGCCTGGTGATGGGTATTAAAGAGGGCACATTCTGCGTAGAGCACTGGGTGTTATGCACAAACAATGAATCATGGAACACTACATCAAAAACTAATGATGTATGATGATTAACGTAACAATAAAAAAGTCAAAAAAAAAAAAGTCCAAGGCACTCTCCCAAGTGAAAAGAGACTGACACAAAAGGTCACAAATTGCACCATTCCATTTACGTAACACATCAGAACAGGAAAATCCACAAAGAAAATGCACACTGGGGGTTGCTAGGGGCTGGGGAAATAGGGAGCTGAGTGGGCAGGGGTCTCCTTTTCGCAGGATGAAAAAGTGTGGAACCAGAAAAACAAGACTACACAACACTGTGGATGAACTCCACACCACTGCATTGTATACCTTAAAATCGGTAGTTTTATGTTACTTGAATTTCACCTGGATAAAAAACAAAAAAGCGGGGCACCAGTTAAGCGTCTGCCTTCCACTCAGGTCATGATTGAGCTCCCTGCTCAAGCAGAAAAGCCTGCTTCTCCCGCTGCCACTGCCTCTGCCCCTCCCCCTGCTTGTGCATGCAGGCGTGTGCTCTCTGACAAATAAAATCTTTTAAAAAATAAAATAAATAAAAACAAAAAACAAAAAGGAACTACACACACACACACACACAAAAACAGGAGTGTATCTCAAAAACACCCTGATGAGTGAAGGAAGCCTTACACGAAGGAGCATACCCTGCAGGATCCCATTTCTATGAAGCTCTAGAACAGGGAAAAAGAAATCTGTGACAAAGAATCAAAGACAGACAAAGGGCTGCCTGGGGCACAGCAGGAATCTGCTGGGTGAGGTCAAGGGAGCTTCCAAGGGTGGTGACGGAGGCTGGGTTACTCTGCAAAGGGCATACCTAAGATCTGTGCATTTCACTATATGCATGCTTCACCTCCAAAGACAAGAACCATAAATGCTAGTCAATGACATGCATGCTGCAACACTGAGAAGTGACATCGACCAAGGTCTGCAACTCTGAAATGCACCAAGAAAAACAGAATACTGATGGGTGGACAGATCAGGGCCAGCCAGCTTTTCCTTAAAGGACCAGATAGTAAATATTTTAGGCTCATGACCACGAGTGTTACAACACTTAACTGTCCTTTCTTAAACTGATCGTATTTAAGTAACTTACAATAATTAGTATTTTAACTATTCCTAAGCGCACAATTCAGGGGCATCAATTATATTCACAATGTTGTGCAACCATCACCCCCACCTATTCCCCAAAATTTTTCGTGCCCCAAACTGAAGGTCTGTCCCACGAAACAGTAACTCCCATACCCTCAAACCCAGGTACCCTCCAGCCCCTTCTGTGACTCTGTCTATTCTCGATCTCTCATGTAGTGTGGGCCCTTTTGTGCTGGCGGATTTCATCAGCAGAACGTTTTCACGTTTCCCCATGTCACAGCAGGTGGCAGAACTTCCTTCCTTTTAAGGCTGAGTACCAGTCCACTGTACGGCTGGACCACACTCTGTTTACCCATTTGTGCTGATATACATTTGGGGGTGTCTCCACTTTTAACTATTTGGAATAATGCTGCTATGAGCGCTGGCCTGCAAGTGTCTGGGTGCACATGGAGTACGGAATTGCCGGGCACATGGCAACCCCCTACATAGAGTTCTGAGGAGCTGCCAGACTGCCTCCCAAAGTGGTCTCACCCTCTCCCATTTCCCAGCGGTCTCCACTTTCTCCAAATCCTTGCCAACACCTGCTATTTTCCATGTTTCTGATGACAGCTACCATAGCAGGTATGAAGAATTATCTCACTGTGGTGCTGGCTCATATTCGTCTAGGGACTTATGATGTTAAGCATCTTTTCATGTGTTACTGGCCACATGTGTATCTTCTTGTGGAGCAATGTCAAGTCCTTTGCCTATTTTTTAGTGGGTGTTTATTGTTGAGCTGTAGGAGGAGTTCGTAGATCTTTGGACATCAAATCCTTATCAGATATATGATTTGCAAACATTTTCTCGCCTTCCGTAAGTAAATTATCTTTTCATTTTCTTTTTTTTTTTTTAAGATTTTATTTATTTATTTGAGAGAAAGAGAATGAGAGAGAGAGCAAGCACGAGAGGGAAGAAGGTCAGAGGGAGAAGCAGACTCCCCGCTGAGCAGGGAGCCTGATGTGGGAACCGATCCCAGGACTCCAGGATCATGACCCAAGCTGAAGGCAGTCGCTTAACCAACTGAGCCACCCAGGCGCCCCTATCTTTTCATTTTCTTGATAACATCCTCTGGTATACAAAAGTTCTTGTTTTTGATGAAATCCTATTTATTTTTGCTTTTGTGGCCTGTGCTTTTGGTGTCCTAGCTAAAAATTCACTGCCTAATCGTAAGCCATGAAATTTACCTTTGCTTTCTTTCTTCTTTCTTTTCGTTTTTTTTTCTTTTTTTTGAGAGAATCTCAAGCAGACTCCCCACTGAGCATGGAGCCCCGCCTGAGATCACGACCTGAGCCGAAACCAAGAGTTGGATGCTTAACCGACTGAGCCACCCAGGCACCCCACCTTTGTTTTTTTTCTAAGGGTTTTTTGGGCTTAGTTTTTATATTTAGGTCATTGTTCCACTTTAACTACTGCATACAGCGTGTGGTGGTAGGAGCCCAGCTTTCTCTGGCATGTGGAAATCCAGCTGTCCCAGCACCATTTTTCAAAACCATTCCTTGTTCTTTTAATGAACATATTTTGGTCAAAAATTCACTGGCCATAGATATGTGGGTTTATTTCTGGACTCCCAATCTATTCCATTAGTATCTCTCTATCTCAGTACCATGCTGTTCTGATTAAAGATAAGATTGTCACAGAGCAGTCTATCTGAAAGAGACGCTCAGCCATTTCCCCGAGACGAAGAGCCACTCTTACCTGAGAACACCACAGGTCTGGAGGACGGCGTTGCACTCTGCGAGTGCTGCTTCTTCTCCAGGGCTGCCAGCATTCCTCCCAAATCCAACTGTACCGGAATCTGGCTCTTCTTTCCAGTATTTTTAAAATTATTCTAAAAAATTATAAAATCAGAAGTTTTCTTAGAATAGTATATTTTACAAGTGTGCTTGTTTTAAGACAAAAAGTCATAAAAACGATAAAAGGAAATCTATTTATAGCGACCATAAAACAAATCTTTAAAAAATTAAAGGGCGCCTGGGTGGCTCAGTCGTTAAGCGTCTGCCTTCGGCTCAGGTCGTGATCCCAGGGTCCTGGGATCGAGCCCCACATCGGGCTCCCTGCTC